CACGAATATATATATAAACTATATATTCTTGTTGTTTGTGCACAGCAGCGTGCGTGCGGTGTACTTGTGTGTTGCAGATGAGCATTTGAACGGCATTACAAGACTTTGGTAATAAATACATTTCGTGTTTAGTTATCATGATACCAACGATCGTATGTGTATAGTATTAGTAATAATATAGGCCTACGTATGTAGGATACGGATGTGCGTGCGTGCGTTCATACTGTGGTTCAGTGGCGTAGTTAGGGGGTGGGGGCAAAGGGGGCCATGCCCCCCTGTTGATCCGAAAGTAAAAAATCAAATAAAAATAAGAATTGTTCTACTAAAAAAAGAATGATCGTAGTCAGAATGAAGGCTATACATGTACTCAAAAGTGCTCAAATACCATCTCCTGCAATCTACATTTTCAAAATTTACGCCCCGCCAGTTTTTCACCCTCTCATTGGAATCCTGGATCCGCCACTGAACAGTTACTTATCTTGGGAGCAGAGAACAACGAACAAAAATGTCGCCTCTTTGCATAGCGCCCATAACAAAGACTGCAGTGCTGAGAGGCGGGGAGCGTAGGGTGTGAAGAGGGAGGCGGGGGAACCATTAAAATCATCCACTATTTTGCGCAGTTCGTTGTTTTTGCCCCCCCCCCCCGTTAAAAAATCCTGGTTACGCCACTGCTGTGGTTATTTTCACAAATGTTCTTTCTCTGTCATTAAACGAAATATTCCCTGAGGCTGCATGGAGTCAGCGTAGAATCTAAGACGAATTCTCGTGCCCTTGCAACGAATGCATTGCGGAACACACAGACATTCTTACGCACACAACGCACATACACACGCATGCACGCACCTATACTTACGCACAAAACACACATGCCGGCGCATACACACACGCACGCACGCACACACGCACGCACGCACACACACGTACACTGTAACAGAAACAGACAGACATCCAGAGAGACATGATACAAGATTGAGTGGCACAGCTTTGCTGTTGATCCTGAGCGCTGCGCGCGGATGAGACGCGCAATTCCGCGGAATATGCGTACGCGACCGCGGGGATGTTCAAGTATGAAGCGCTGTCCGCAGTGGAGACGTGCGCCAAATTCGAGGCCCGGCGCACGTCTCCACAGCGGTCAGCGGATGGTCTGTAGTTTTAGAAGATAACAATGAAGACTTTGTTCTAAATAAGAACTATCGGCGGCTAAATAAGAGCAATATACAGACCTTTGAATTACTTGACTAGTCAGTCAAAGGGCTTGTTGGGGGTGCATTATGCAAAGCTTCCAATTGAAATGGCCCATGAAATTGTCAAGTGGAATTGTGTTTTTAGGAACCCCAAAGAAAATGCCTCCCTCTTACATGCACCCCCTCCCTGATCAATCACGCATTCAGGCGTCAACAATAACAGAGATGAAATTGTGTTGAGTTTGTGGCTCTTGACGCACGTGCATTGACGTACAAGACTGTTGAAAGCACAGGCACTTGGAACGTCTCAATAAAAATAAATATTCACACAATTTTGAGCTCATCTGAC